GTGGGTAGGTTTCAAATTTCTTTCAGTACCATTTCTTACTCAAAGTAAACACTACCCTTATATTTCTGAAGCATTTAAATCAAAACTCTCCCTACTCTCTTTAGAATGTGTACAAAATATTTGGTCCCAAATGGTCTTCCTCTGATTAAAATAAGTATTTTCTATTCTCTTTTGGGTAGGAATGTTTCTTTTCCGACATAATAACTAATTTTTATAGAACTCCGTGCTTATCTATTTTATCAAATGTATCTACCTTTATAACTTAATCATCAAGTTTTGTTATTCCCTAATTTTAAATTTCATTTCAAGTAATTTCTATATAGAAGTAAGTATCTGAATACTTTACATTTTGTTTGTTTTCCGTTCGATAATTTTTCAATTCTATTGAGACACTACCACTTGTCGATCAAGCTAGCTACAAGTAAGCCTACAAATTTTTACCTATACACGACACTCAAAACCATTGAGTAGTGAGGGATCGTTTTGTGCAAGCACATACTGCAACATGGGATTTCGGTTTATATGGTCTCATCAAAAGAGTTTATCTCCAAATACATCCCACAGGATTTGAACCTGCGACGTAAGGATCAATTAACGCCTTACTTTGAATCTCTAGAGCAAACTCTTTTAACAACTGCGCCACGCGAGTGACACTTACACTTTGTGATTTTGATTTGATTCAAATGTAATTAAAAATCAGACATAGTTTAACGAGCTACTACAAGAAAAAAAAGTTGTAATCATGAGGAACGATCTTTCTCACAGATAGGTCATTGGGATTACTATACCATTGTGTCCGTGCATACGCATCTTTTCATTAAAATTAACTGTTTTAATCATATAATAAAATCAAATGATACATTTTATAAGGTTATACTGCAATGCAAGTACATACACATTTTTCAAGTTCAGATTTGGTGTTGTACACGAGATCAACTGAATGCTTATAAACTCATGAAATAAAAGGTGTAAAATTAATGTCATTTGAATTTGCGAGATCGAATATCAACAAACTTTAATGCTATTATTTTTTCCCTTTACCAACGTAAAAAAATGAGTTGAATGTATGTTGTCTGACAAAAATTTTCCAGCCTAACAGATCATTTTACTTGTCAGAGCAAATGAATGTCTCACAGTGATATTTTCCATAGTATTTTTTTAAAGTAACGTTGTTCTGTCTCTTTATTGCTGAAACAAATTGAAAGAAGTTCGGTTAAACCTTAATAATAATAATAATAATAATAATACTTTATTTATAGAAGGTAACCCGATTAGTGCAAGCACTAGTCTTCCTCGGGGCCCTCTTTATAACACATATACAATGTATATACACAATAAATACAAATAGCGATCCTTTGACCTTACATCTCTGTTTACATCTCTATATTTAGACAATCGCGTCATTGTCAAACCAGTTAGACCAGTTGTTACTCCTTTGATGACCTCGCACTTTTTGTAATGGAGCGTAGTGGAGTCAGCCGAGGATTGCCGAATGATAAATGACGGGACTTTTTTTTCATACGGAAATCAAAGTTTACGTGTCATTTCTCAAGAGAGATGACAAAAATATGCTATTTAAATTAAGTTAAATAAAATTCTTTTTCATTTACTTTCATATCATTTATGAAAATTAGATTAATTCAGAAAAATGAGATGGACTATTTTTATTGCGGAAGTTTCTTCGAGTTTATATAAACTGGTGCGAGTTTGTATTGAATATCACAGGGGAGTAAATTGGCTGAAACAGAAACACCACGACAGCCGCTATATAATTCATTGTAAAATTACTGCGCTAGAATTCGCTTGACAACCTAGGGAGTCTGAACATAGTTCAACTCCCAAAAATACCCATAATCACATGCCTTTTGGTCAGGGTATCTATAAATAATGTATTCATTGATAGCTAGAAAAAAGCAATTGCAACACAAATCGCCTTGCAGAATAGCTTTGGATAACCTAAAATTCCATGTTTAGCAAATGAATTGTTTGTAAGTATGAGCATGTAAAAAATATAAAATAATAAAAACAAACAAATTGGCTTTCATTTACGAAATGCATGGAAAGAATGTTGTTTGTTTAGATTTGTTTTCCCACAAATAAAATTCCTGTAGTATTCTTGGTTACCCACAGTGCAGTTCTCATTCATCGGATTTGTCTATTAAAAGCAACTCATTCGTTTATCTGCCGCAAATGTATAAAGTCCCATGCAAGTATTTTATTTTAAAATATATTGTAATAAATGACTGACAAAATAATGTCATAAAGAATACTAATCAAAGTTTAATGAATTCACGATGGTTTATTGATTGATTGATTGTATATTGTTTAATGTCCCTCTCGAGAATTTTTCACTCATATGGAGACGTCACCGTATGCCGATGAAGGGCTTCAAATTTTGACATTTACTCGACACTCAGGGCCATTGGGCACTGAGGGATCTTAATTGTGCCAGCGCCTTCCGCTGACACGGGGCCTTGGTTTTAAGGTCTCATCTGAAGGACCCGCAACTTTCAATTCAAAGTGCCGAGCGCATGGCGAAGGAACAATTGCTACCCATTTTATCGACTGGGTCAGTCGCGGCCGAGATTCGAACTCACGACCTTCCGATCACGGAGCTAGCGCTCTACCGACTAAGCTACCGTGAACGGTCAAGACGGTTAAAAGTACATAACTGCAGATGTACCGGTTATAGGATGGTGAGAACTAAAACACAACATAACTTTTCTAATTACTTTGTCTTCACATGCGAGTCACTTCCTCAGTTCCGTGAATTTTTACTTATCTTGCTGTAGTCTCCCATGGTCAAAAGCTAACGCCAGAACTATTCTGAACTCCTTGGGTATTATAATGTGCAGAATACTGAAAAATGAAAGGTTCTAACACATTAGTAGGGGTTTTAAGGTATAGAACAATTTCAATAAGGCCTGTTTTGTCCTCAATGTCACATCATGCCAAAAAAAAAAAAAAAACAAATCTGAAAATTGTAAGTAAATTTGACGTACACATACTTTGTGGTAATGGATGTCAAGCAATGAGAGAATAAAAACTTTTTTTTCATTAGTTGCAAAAACATGAGCATGAAAAATAAAATCAATCAAAAATAGTTTTTATGTACGTCTGCCAGATTAAAAAAAAGGCCGGTTGAAGCACGATAATGTTTAAGGGAGTTACCCATTATCTACCTTGTGACAAATGTATTTTTTTGATAAAAAGCAGCAATCGATATCTGCTAAATTTATTTAAAAACTACAGACTAAGAAATGTTGGATATAATTCATAGTTCGAAAATTTTAACAAACAAATAAATACCGAGTATAACACAAAGAGAAAATAAACAGGAATAAAACTGTTGAGGTAAACATGAGTAGAAATAGTATCTACACAAAAACGAGTAGCAGAGTGCATATAAAATGCATATTCAAATTTGTATAAATAAGAGATGCAAATAATGGATAGGGTATAAGAATTTGAGAAATTGTTGGTATAATCTCGATCATACAAAAAGAAATAGATTAAATTTTAGCTATTGTTATAAATTAACATTTAATGTTAAAGAACAAATTAAAATGTTTGTCAGAAAGAGTTGAAAGATTGTCAACAGAGGATTTTGTGAAAGAAACACCTACACTGCCTTCTAATTTTCATGTCCAAATTGACCAGGTCTGATTCATCTCTGGTATGATGGTACTGATCGGGATTGTCTATGACAGTTATTTTTCCATTAGGGGATCTGGCTTTTTAGGAGATTTTGACAACAAAGTTGTCGGCACGGAAAGAGTAGTCTGTTGGCGAAATTTGTCAGATCCTCATTGGACAAAATTTGCTTGGATTCCTCGTAGTCGCGAAATTTTCTGGAGTTTCTATGCACTCCTGAAAGAACTGGCGACCGTTTCACTATCAAATCGTAAACGTATGATTACGTTTACGACTGTTAGAGGTGCACGTAAACGAGCGTTTCACAAAACCTATCGTAAACGTAGCACTTACGACTGGTGAGTTACGACCAACTTATTGGAACTCTTCTGACAAAGGAGGTGTATTTGTATTTGTTTGAGAGAGAGAGAAGAGGAGAGAGAAAGAAAGAATCTACATCATTACGAATTAAGATTAAATATCTTTCATTGTTTGTCCTTGTCTTAAAAAATACAGAGAGAGAGAGATGAAGACAGATAATGGAAATTAGATCACTAGAATGAAAATACCTATTCTATGCATTAAAATTTGATAAAAGTTCCTTTTTATAACTAGGATTAAATTATTTGTATTGAATATCTTTATTCGTTCTCGCATTTAACGTACGAGGGTTGTTAGAAAAGTTCGCGGACACATTTAATTACAGAAAATCTATTGTGTACTGTGAAGTATGACCTATGTCTGAATGAATTTACACATTTTGTTTATTGGTATGTAAAAAATCAGGTCCATATAATAAAATCTTAAAATTTTACAAATATTTTTACTATAGGGTTATGGGATTCACGGAGCAATCACTTGACGTAAGGCGACGTGACAACCAGATTTCAACCCTTTAAGCTTTGTCGCAGTTCTATAAATCTTTCATTTTTTCATATTTTTCTTATCTATTTTCTACTTTAAAATTGAATATCTATATCTAGACATATTACTTTTCAACTATAATGTCTTTTGTACTGTTTCGGATATTACTGAGATGTTAAAAAATAAAAAAAAAAGTCTATGCAGTCAATTGATGAAATATGGAAAGTATGCAAAACCATAAAGGCGCAACGCAACGTCCATGCAATAGGTGGGTCTTGAAGTATCGATGTAGTTAATCACTCAAAATGTTACTCCTTCCATTCTTATGAAGCTACAACCATTTGAGAACTTGTTCTTTGTATGTGTAGGATATTCCCGGCAGCATCTTGAACATTTTAATCTCATTTTAGACATTTTCCTGTGTGCACACATAATTTTTAAGTAGTGCAGTGCTCCATGAAGCTCAATGAGTGTGTGCGTGTGTGGCTCCCCCATACTGGGGACCTGCTACAGATACGCAAGTCGTAAAATGGGGACATAAAAAACATTGGGGACTTGATTTAAGTCCCCAAACTTTTTTATCGTTGAAAACGAAAAATTGACATGTCTAAATCCTAAAAATATCAAAAAAATAACGTGTCCCAGTTACGGGGTTTTATCGGACACATGATTACACAGATATCGTGTTGATTGAAATTGCCATCTTCACTTACACATCTCTGACGTTACACACTTCTAGATTACGCATGCGCGTGTGTAAAAAAAGCGGAAGTCCAATTGTTTCGAAGCGGGATACAATAAACATGTGGAAAAGAAGACACAGAGGAAAGCCTGGACACAGAATCCTAGATTCTTTTGATAAAGATGATTTTTATGCTGAAAACGGTATGTTATCTACTTCTTGGATAAAATATGGTGCGAGGAACATGCATCAAAGTATTGAAGGGGGGAGGGGGGCAGTGACGATTGCTGCATAGGCCTATCGGGTACTCAGTTGAAATGAAAAGACAGTTATTTATGTGATTTTCTTTCTTGAAATAGTACACAATTTATGCTATTCATTTCACAATGATTAAAAATTCATCAAATGAAAGGTATATTAATCGAATGTGTTTTGTATTTCATGTCAACATGAAATGACCTTTTAATACTAAGTTTTAACTCAATTTAACTGAACTAAATCCAGTCCACTTTAAATGTAGTTTGTATGTGTGAGTTTTTTTTGAGCCAATAATGAGATCGGATTGTACCAATCCCCCCCCCCCTTCTACTTGAGATCTGCAACTTATTGTTTTTAAAGCCAAACCTAAGAGCGGGTTGTACCAAACACCTCAACAACCCACCCCCTTCTTCTTGAGCCCAGCAACCTATTTCTGGTGTTGTTTTCTTTTCATTTTTAAAGCAAAAAGTGAGATCGGATTGTACCCCCCCCCCCCCCCCTTTTACTTGAGAGAGAACATAAAGTGTAGTTATCAATTCAACATTTATTTTACTTGTCCTATAATATATAGACATTACTTAATACAATAATAGCCTATTTCAATTTTACTCAAAATGCACTTATTAGGCCCCTATTTACTGCTAAAGAGCAAATAATTGAAGATCAAGTATATATTGTTTTCATGTTGTTTATATTATAGAAACTTGGGCTGAAGCATCTTTAAATTTAAAAAGCTCCCACATTACTTATATGAAAGTACAATTCATTAAGTGACAATTATATTTTCCACATTTTTTTTTAATTATTATCATTTTACAGCATTCTTTTTAAAAAAAAAATCACATTTGATCTCTCTAAGGGCCTGTACGTGTTATGGGCATTGGAATAAAAATGCTCAGAAAGAAAATATGGATAAAAACGTACGTCTTGAACAAATTTTATTAACGAATTTTTTTTTCATATAATTATTATCCTTAAACATGTTAAAAGATATAGAATTAAACTAGAATATAAAAATCATGCAAACTTGTGTTTATTAGATTTTTTTTATCAGGTCATTATATCCTAAAGCAGGACATTATACCCCTGTCGTTTTTATTATGTCCAATAAAAAGTTTATATATTTTATTTTGCATTTTGCTACGATTCTTATAGAAGATAACAATATTTATTATTTCCAATAAAAATGATATTGTGTATGCACCAAAATTGACAAAAAACTATTTATTATAATCAGTCAGGACATTGTACTATAAGGGCATTATACACTTCCGGTGTAAACAGCTTACTCAGGAACTGAGGAAGCAGGTAAGGCATGGTTTGGACTGAAAAAAAAACACGTCCTTGTTTGATTCCTTGAAACGATTGTGTAATTATGTTCTGGAGACTTGAAGTCTGTACAAAGACACACTACATCAAAGTAGTTTCATGTCGACCGCTTTATACCTGATCATCCTGATCATGGATAAGCCTTTCCGAATTCCCTCGGTTTAATTCTCATTTCACTGTTAGTGTGTTTGTTTATATACAAACAGCTTTTAAATTGAATTTTTAAGAGTTCATTATAATTGTATTTTATATGATATGATCTTTTTTAAAACAGTGTGCAATGTATTTAATTTTTGTATCCTTTCTATCAGAAAGTCATAGGCTATAATAAGAATCATTTGACTTGTTTAATGTATTGTGGTATATTAAGTTTATTTATGTATTCTCAAATTATTTCATTTCGATCCCGATGTAAATTATCTTGCTTATATTTGGAAACACCCACTTTTATGCGACCATCAGATCGGGGAGGAAGACGACTGGCTTAATTCTCTATAGTTACACTCTTCACATACTAGAATCATCTTTTTGTCCATCTGTTTATATTGCTTTTATAGTTTATATTTGGGTTAGACTATATTTTGGTTGGGGGTAAATTATGTATGTAACGTCCAAGCAATTATCAGATAAATTAATAAATCCATTTCTTATTGCAGGTAGCAATAATATGTAAGATATAAGTATGTATAAACGCTCAATGCGTAATCCAAATATTTAATCGCCCTCGGCGATTTACTCCCTTCTTGGAAATCAAAAGTCAGTATCAGTTAACATTTTATTTACACACTTATCAGGCGCGTAGCTGCCTATACGCAAGTACGCAAGTGCGTACACATCATTTTTCAAAAAAAAAAAAAAGAAAGAAAGACAAGAAAAAAGAATAAAAAAGAAATTAGAGATATTTATTTATAGAAAAAGAGGCACTATCTGTCTTTCAAATTATTTTACGTCTTATTGTTTCTATTCAAATTTTGTTCAGAATATCGTTAAAATCCAGTCTTTTATAAAATCAATTCCACAATTCTTGAGTAAGAAAATATTGTTGAACAAAAATTTTCAACTGTTAATCCCCGTAATCCTGATTATCCGGACAAATACTAGCTGCAGATCTGTAGCTCTCTGGTTGACAAAAAAATCGGATAGACAAACGAGAGATTTGTCTATCCGAATTTTTTTCAACCAGAGAGATACAGATCTGCAGCTAGACAAATATGTATTTGATGAAGGAAAGCGATCTAAGTGACATTGATCTAAAGAAAAAGTTACAAGAGTCTTGGAAGACTATACAAGAATTTCCGTTGAAGTAATGAATAAATATCGATAAACAAAACAACAACAACAACAACAACAACAAAAAAAAAAAAAAAAAAATGCAAAATTCAAATTCAATTACTGAACAAAATAAATAAAGATATATAGAACATTTATGAATATCTCCTTTTACTGATGTTACCAATTTATAGAATTTAAGTACTCTCACATTGTTTAAGCTATCAGAATATAAAGGTTATCAAAAGACTCACACCCCCGTTTATATTTGAAATACTTTAAATCCAATATGATAACTTATTAAATTACTTCTCTGTTTTATCTTGTCACACTTGGAAACTTTTTTTCCAATACCAATATATTCACAAATTAATTTGATCAAATTATCCTTCTCTTCCTGAAGTATCCATGAAAGTATAACTTAGCTAAGTGTTTGGTTGAGAAAAGAGATGTTATGTGATTTAATTCTTTTTAAGGAAAATGACTGAAAAATTTCGTAAAATCCAGGAGCTTCCCCAGACCCCCGACCATTTTCTGCGTACACTTCATTTCAATGCTGGCTACGCGCCTGCTTATCATAGTTAAGAATCATCCAAAATCATCACAACAAACACTGTATAATTCATCCTGAAACAATTTTTGAGCGAAGTATATCCCAGCACAACTATATCAAAACTGCGTCCCCGTATTGAATAAGTACCCGTATATATACTAAATGACCATCATTCCAAAGGAGTGATGGGGTATAAACAAAAGACCGTCACTCCTAATGAGTGACCGGGTGTGAACAAACTATTCTAAAGATAGAACGAGTGACCGGGAGTTATATAAATACTGCAGAATATTAAATAAACAAATAAAATAATATATTTAGAAAAAGACTGACTTTAAAATACATAACATGTACATCGTAGTACATTATAGCAGTTTTCTGTAAGACTTGTAATAAGTTTGTAAAGTCGGAATACCAATATTGACCTCATAGAATAATTTGACACCTACATGTAGTATCGCGAGTACCTCACAGATATATAAATTCTTACTACCGCTCTTGCAAGGGAGTAGAGAAGGCTCTAAATCGCACAATTTAGATATCTGGGGTATAACAATGTTTACACTAGTGACAATCGAATGATTCAAACAACCATTATGCCAAAAGTACAGTGAATTGCCAAGGATTGAAATCTAAATAGTACAAATGTAGCTAGATTATCAAATAAGGAAAGTTAAAGTATTAATGAACTTTCAAAAGTAATGATGTTCAATGAGAATTTAATGAGAAAAGTCTGCTCTAAAGAGAAAAGTAATTGTTAAAAATGTAACATATGAGGATAAGCCATTACAAGGAAGTTTTTGATTATGCAAGAACAATAACGTCATGTTTCTGCATACTAAGTCTTCAGTTTCAGAGAGTAGTGGTATGGATTCAGAAAACCACAGTGTGGTGATCCGGAAAGTTTGAATGTCACGCTAACTTGCTCAAAAGTCAAATATTATATTTTTATTACACGCTTAGTAATAAATACAGGTTTTTTGCATATGCAATATGGCTGACGTCACAATAGCTGTATCAGCCCTGCAGGGCTGATATGGATTTGCGGGGCTGATAACCTATATCAGCCCTGCAAATCCATATCAGACCTGCAGGGCTGATATGGCTATTGTGGCGTCAATATCACACCCTTAATAAATTAAACCACAAAAAACAGTACTTGTGATCATACACAATTTTTGGTGGGTTCATATTCTTGTAATTTTAACTTTTTGAAAATAAATTTAATCTTAATTTACAAATACATATATTTACATTCGCTGTGTTTTTCTACTAAGCCAACTGTGAAATTGATTTGAAAATCATTTTCGTGTATACTCACGCCTAGAAATATACACGGAGAAACGTGCGTTACTGTGACGTCAATAGAGCTACAGCGACGTTAGTAAAAGTATATCAATATAGGGCAGCGATAAATTCAAATATTGAGTATATTTTCGATGATTCCAAACATGTAAAATGTAAATATAAGGAATGTTTTTAAGTTTAGTGTGAATTATTGGTGTGAGAATCACACAGACTTGCACGTATGCATATTTGCTAGCGCTTCATGAAATATGCCTACGTGACAAGTCTGTGTGATTCACACACCAATACCTCACACAAAACTTAAAAACATTCCTTAAGTAATAGATTATTTTCAAATTACGGATGGAGTGCATTGAAATAGAAGTAGAAACAAACCCAAATCGTGTGAGACAATAGACCATGTACATGTAGTATGTTAGTTTACTGAGGCCGAAGGCGATTTAAAAGTCAGCCAATTTATTCATTGTTATTAAATGTTGTTGAATTTCCAAATGTTTGACACGTTTGTTCTTGTCTCCAACAAATGTATACACTCATGATTTAAAGCATAGTGTAATAACACATTATGATTAGTGTTGGCAAATCGGACGATTTTTATTAAGCGGTTACTCGCTTCATCTTCCGATTGAGTACCCGGTTACTCGGATGATTTTTGGTAAAAGCATCAATATCTATTATTTATCTTATTGTATACATAAACATTGAAACGATTGTTAATCAGAATGTTCTTTCCTTTATAAATAAGGAGATAAATAATATATGTACTTCCATAAAGTGAAAAAAATATATATGTTTTTCATATTTAATATATAAAGTTGCTTATCATTTACTTTGGAAAAAATGACAGGTTCGAATTTTACTTCTCGCATAAAAACGTGCTCTGCGCAGTTCGTGTTTTATATTCAAACTTTTTTGAATATAGGTGATGCATGTGTCTAACTTCAATTTATATTTTATGCAGCCATCGGTGGTAGTAATGCACAAATATACTGTATAGGGACATTATATTTACAATACACACATACGATATCGTCAAAGATTTACTGTTTTAAAATAAAGAAATAAGGAAGTCGACACACGGAGAAGACAAATAAATATGTCATTGTCAATCACCATTTTACACTTTCCTTTTCAGCCCCTGAAATATGTCGCAATCAAGGAGAATAATTATTTACATACTCCATAATTAATAGCATAGGCATCGTAACCGGGGGGCTAGGGGGGGCTTAGCCCCCCCCCCCCACTTTTTTTCCAAATATATACATAGTATAGACATTGATCATATCTTCGTGAGTTTAGCCCCCCCCACTTTCCACAGATACGTCCTAGTATAGGTTAAAATTGGTAAAAGTGTTGGTGTTTGGAAGAAAATTTTTGGTACTGGAGTTCGAACCTTGCCCCCCCCCTTTTTTCTTTTTTTATTTTTTTTTTCTTTTTTTTGCTTGTCAGATTTTTTTGGAGGTACAAAAAAAAAATTTCTTACACTTAGCCCCCCCACTTTCAATTTGCTTCCGACGCCAATGAATAGTCAGTATGTGGAGTTTCCAGTAAATCGCTGGTTTCCGAATATTTTAAGATTAGGTGATTTAACAGATTTTGAATCAGCTGTTCTTCTGGTAAACTCCAAGCTTATTATGTCTGCGACAGCATCTCGTTAAATTATCAAATGAGGTAATTATAATTCAGGTCTTCAAAAGATATATACCCCAAGCAGTCAAAGCTATCAATAATATAAACTGTGAAAACTAATCAAAACAGTTTGATCCAATACAACCATGAACTAGATCAAGTCTAATGGGTATCTAAAATTAGGGAAATGTGTAAGTTAGTATACCGGTACATTTATAAATTATTAAACATTTATTTCTATGCCTTTACTATGGAGAATTCATCTTATCCCAGTTACCGAGTAGCAGTTTTACTAACCGATACTCACATCGTTCGACAAGAAAGTACAGCAAAACTCGCTTATTACGAACACGGATATTGCGAATTTACGGATATAGCGAAGTCATCTTGGATCCCAAGCTATATAAATTTAATGAAATTCTTATACGGTTATAACGAATTACGGATATAGCGAAGTAATTTCATAGGTCCCTGTGACTTCGTTATAACCGAGTTTTGCTGTAGTTTAGTGCATTGTTATCTAGCATGGTAACATTTACAATGACACATGTTTTAAAACGCCCAATTTGATTGGTAAAAAAATGTTAGCAAATCTATGGTTGGTCAACATGGTCAAGAGGGAAAACCCAAAAACCTCCTGGAACTTTAATTTGAAGTGAACTCACTCTGAGGTACACCCAAAAATACCCAAGGAAAAGGTGTCTAGTCCAACCAGAGAGCACCTTAATCCCTGATCATTTAATTTCTGTGCTTATTGTATAGGAATGGGAACTCAATAGTATTACAAACTTTTACTTTGAGAATAATATTTATAAATTTCTGTATAAAAATGCTTTTACAACATGTATTAAAGATTTGTTCCTGCTTTTAAAAAAAAATCCAATACATTCTGAATTTAATTTATGATTTTTTTTGCTAGAATGTTCAAGGCAACCAGAATCTTGAGTCCATCCTGAACATAGAGACAACACAGATATTAGCAAAGCTGGATAATGTTGCTAGAGGATTAGTTAATGCAACTCAGCAAGGACTAGTGATGGATATGTTCCAGGTTCCACAGCTAGGAGAATGTCAGGAAGAAAAGCCTCATCATTAAAAGTGTTACAGGTGAGTTATTTAGGAATTTAAGAAATCAATAGGATAGATAAAGATTCACTAGAGAATGAATTTTTTTGTTGGTTCATGATCACATCTATTGAGAAGCCAAAGGCAAAAGTATTGCATGCAGTAAATATTGTTTGGATGTAATCACACTTATATCATTGTATATAAATAACCTTTATCCGTATTGATAAATATTTTGAATTCATTTCAGATAATATAAATCTAAATTCATTACTGTGTCAAATTATATTTTCGTTTAATGTCTTTGTTCAAAAGACAATTACAAATAATCAAATGAATGCACTTTATTTCTCCATCAATATACTGGTTCATTGATAGGCGCTGCTAATTTATGGCACTTTTATTTATGCACATTATCATGCCAACCAATTGATTGATCACATCATGAAATCGAAAAATAAGACAGTTACAGTCTTCATGAAAACTTTTCAAACTACCTGGCCAGTCGGACCAGTGATCTTTCAAAATGTACTGGCCCACCAAAATTTTTACTGGCCCCTTAATGAAAAAATAACATATATATATATCCATTTTTATAACTGTCAATTAATACATGTTTACGCACTTCAACTTTTGAAATGCCGCCATTTTTCGTCCTTTGTCGTGTTTCGGTAAGCTGTTCGTTGGAAATTCGCACATTTTACGTACTAGTTAATAGTTACTAGCTAGTTCCTGTTGTTACGTAATACATCCAGGTTATAATAATACGATTCAACAACACGTGTTCGTTCTTTTTATTTTATATATTAATGAAATTTAAGCAAGTAAGTCAGTTAAAATATATACCAGGTATTGACTGTGTATGATTTTTAAAATCAACAAGCCCATCGGACTTCTTGAATTTTTATTTTCACTGACACGACATCAAAATTCACTGGCCTCGGTATTTGGACCAGTGAGTTTTCGTGAAGACTGCAGTTATTTCTTAAATAACATTTTTATTCATTTATTTAATACATGTATGAATTTTGCCAGCATCTTCAGATGGTGAAATGTCAAGCAATAAGTGCATTCCAAGCCCTCAAGAAGTTGTGTCAAGCCCTAGTCGTAAAGGCATTCCAGATCTAAAGAATAGACATGGACCTATATGTATGGTTTTATTGATGAAAGTGTGCCATCCCCAGTGACAAAGGTGAACCAGTTTCTGAAAATGGAGATGAAGCTTGACCCTGGAAAGAAAGCATGCCTGTCTAGGGACTGAGATCTGCAAGTTCTAAATGAAGGAGATTTGCCAGGTACTGATATTACTGATATCCTACATGTGGGTCCCATCTGCTCAAGGTTCCAATAGTGAAAAATCTTGGTTAGGAATGAAGTGTCATCAGGTATTGCTTCTATCAAGAATCTTCTTTCTTTAGAATTAATATGTTTAAAGCTTAAATTATTAGGGCCCGCAAGGATTTGCGGGTGCCCTGTAGTAATCACTCTGTCTGTCCGTCTGTCATTCCTCTGTCCACAAATTTTCTGTTTTTTTCCTAATAACTTTTTTTATGGTAGCCCAATTAAGTTCACATAGGAAAATTTTTTAAAAATCTTCTCAAGAACCACTGGGCTGGGAAAGATGAAACTCATGTGAAATTATCCTCAGGTAGTGTCGATTCAAGTTTGTTCAAATCATGACCCCCGGGATAGGGTGTGGCCAAAATGGCTGATCAAAGTTATATATAGGAATTTATAGTTAAAATATTTAAAAATTTCTTTTCAAGAACCACAGGGCCAGGAAAGATGAAACTCGTGTGAAATCATCCTCAGGTAGTGTCGATTCAAGTTTGTTTAAATTATGACCCCAGGGGTAGGGTAGGGCCAAAATGGCTGATCAAAGTTTTACATAGGACTAGATAGGGAAATCTTTTAAAATCGTCTTCTCAAGTACTTCAAAGCCATGATTAGTGATATTTATGTTGAAACATCCTTAGGTAGTGTAGAATTAAATTTGTTCAAACCATTATAACGCCTAAGGGTAGGGTGGGGCCACAATGGTGAATCAAAGTTTTACATAGAAAAATAAAGAGAGAAATCCCAAGAATAGAAAAGCTATGTTTAGTCATATTGACATGTAAGCATCCTCATGTATTTAGGATTTAAATTTATTCAAATCATGGCCCTTTGGGGCAAGAAGGGAAACAATGGGGAATCAAATTCAAATTATTATGAAGTTATACATAGGAAGAAAGTGTTTTTAAAAAATCTTTTTATCAAGAACAGTAAAGTCATATGCTGTGTTTATATGAAGGCATTGTCAAGTAGTATTAATTCAAGCCCCCCCCCCCCTTTTCAATAAACTTTTCCTGATCTGATTTGTGCTTTTTCCTAGCCGATTTGCTCAGGTGAGCGATGTGGTCCCTGGGCCTCTTGTTTGAAATTACTGGGATCAAAGCTGTTGATTATTGCTCAAAAGTTTATCATATACTTACACATTTTATTCTGGTTGAAATGTTTGTAATTTTACTATTAAGTTGCAATTTTTTCAGAGGCACTAAAGGAAACTGATGGCATTGTTTTTGTGTGGGTGATGAGAATAAGAGTGAGGAGGAGATAGATGACAGTCAAGACAATCAGGATGTCCATATTGTCACTCCAGGTACTGTATACACACTGCATTACCCATTTTAAGCAATAAGTTTCTTAACTTGAAATTATATGCAGAAACCCAGCATGGCCAGCCAGTCTACATGCATGGAAAATTTTCTAAAGACTTGATATTGAGTATTACCAGTAGAGCTTCAGTCTAAAATGCAAACAGGTGGTTCTATTCAAGGATAGGCCAGAGCATAGTTCAGACAGAAGTTATTTGCATTGATTGAACTACTGTAGATCACTAAATTTTCGCGACACCTTATTTTCGCGAGAAAGTCATTGACTCTTGATTAGCGAGACAAAATTTTCGCGAATTGTGGTTATTGCTCTATATAATCTAAAGGAATACTATTAAACGCGAGAATTAAATTTTCGCGAGCACACTGTCTCGCGTAATTACGCCAAAATAAAGTTCTCGCGAATAAAAAGTGATTTACAGTATACCAATTTCAGTCATAACATTTCACAAATATGTCTTCTGAATGTAGATGGAGGAGCTAGCTGAGATTAAATTCATAATCAACAAAATATTTTACTGGATGTGAATTTATATAGCAAAGCTTTCAAGTACACAGACCATTCAAATAAAGAAAGTACCTATGTATCACAAATATACTTATTGGTTAGTAAACAATCATTCTCCTGCCAGACTATATTTCAGATGAAAAAAATTGCTTTAACTCTTAGAGCTATTTTTATTATTATTTTTTTTTTGTACAGACCATACCACCAACCAAGGAAAATTATATTTTGAAAATATCATTTTAGGGAAGAAGAAGTCATTTCTGATCCTAGATCTACTGTGGAAGATTCTACATGCAAGTGACAAGAGATACAAAAAAATCCCAAGGACATCATGAGAAATGAATTTAATCAACAGACATTGTGGAAAAGATTTCCTAAAAAATTGTAATAGGACCTTAGAGAAGTGTAAAACACCAAGGATATAATCTTGTTAAAAAACAGAGAAAATCTATATTAACATTCTACTTTCAATTGATATACTTTGAGAAATATGATAAACACTGTGTTTTAAAGCCACAGTAATGGAGGACATTGAATTCTTTGTAGCAGTTTTATCATTAGGCCATTCCAATTTTTTTCTGTGTTTAGTGTCTGCGGATGGATTGGTTTTGAGGTCATGCAATCAAGAACAAACACAAAATGAAATTGACAAATACAAATCTTTGACAAGCAATTTACTCTTCTGGGATCAGCATCTCTCTTTTTTAAAAGTGATGTGCTCAAGTTTTTTTTTTTTTTTTTTCATTAAACTAGTAGTTGTAGTAGTTTAATTTAGTTATAATATGAGGAAAATTCTCAAATGATGCTAAAGGAGTTCTAGAACTTTGCGTAAAATGTTGTTTTTTCCCCTTTTGGTTTGTAATTTTTTTTTTGGAAGGAAAGAAATGTTTTGAAATTTAGGTTGGATGCTAAACAAAGAAAAAACTTGGAATGGCCTCATATAACCTACATGGACTAAACTTGCATAGATGAAGAGTGCTTAAGAAGCTGTGCATGATGTATGTAGGAAATGATTTTGAGGTATTAAATATTCTATGCAAAAGGAAATTTTCTCAATTTAGTTAATTTTTGCAAAAAAATGTTTAAGCATCACATACATAACCTTTCTGAAAGTGAAAAAAATATTCATCGTTTGATCAAGTCTTTAGTTCAAGTTATATGCAAAAATACATATTTCATTCTTTATAAACACTATGATATTGCTGTACTTTTCTTATGTGAATTGAATATAAAGAGTTGGATTTGATGCATAAATAGTCCTGTTCTTATACTAGTTCTTTGAGAATCACCCCCTGTCCCATTTTTAACATCAAAATAAAGTATGGAGTATTTCTCATTTCCTTTAACAAAGATTTTTTATAGAGTCCTGAGATTGGAAGTTAAACAAGATTTCAAAGTTCTTGAAATATTAAAAATGCAAAAAAAGGAATTTTCAGGATATGAGAGAATTCAAATGGGACCTTGAGACTTGGTCAGTTAATTGGTATATATATGGAGGGCCATTTTATGGATAAAGTGAACCTAGCTCTTTTCACCATTTCGATAGATTACACTGTCACCAAGTATCAAAATGATAAACTGATGCATTGGTTACCAAAACTGAGTACTTTTGATTTCTCACAATTCACAGGGCCAAAAAAAAAAAAGCTTTCAGTGAACCTTGCTCTTTATTACATTTATGTCTGTAAACTTTTACCATGTGCAAACGTCCTTTGTTTCTAGAAATGCCATTATCTTCTGTAAGTCCCCAAACTTTTAACATGTGTATAAGGTCCTCAGTCTCTATAAATACCTATATCATGTGTAAGTCCCCAAACTTTTAACATGTGTATAAGGTCCTCAGTCTCTATAAATACCTGTATCATGTGTAAGTCCCCAAACTTTTAACATGTGTATAAGGTCCTCAGTTTCTATAAATACCTGTATCATGTGTAAGTCCCCAAACTTTTAACATGTGTATAAGGTCCTCAGTTTCTATAAATACCTTTTGTGTAAGTCAAACTTTTAACATGTGTATAAGGTCCTCAGTTTCTATAAATACCTGTATCATGTGTAAGTCCCCAAACTTTTAACATGTGTATAAGGTCCTCAGTTTCTATTAATTTTACCTGTATCTATAAATACCTGTGTAAGTCCCCAAACTTTTAACATGTGTATAAGGTCCTCAGTTTCTATAAATACCTGTATCATGTGTAAGTCCCCAAACTTTTAACATGTGTATAAGGTCCTCAGTTTCTATAAATACCTGTATCATGTGTAAGTCCCCAAACTTTTAACATGTGTATAAGGTCCTCAGTTTCTATAAATACCTGTATCATGTGTAAGTCCCCAAACTTTTAACATGTGTATAAGGTCCTCAGTTTCTATAAATACCTGTATCGTGTGTAAGTCCCCAAACTTTTAACATGTGTATAAGGTCCTCAGTTTCTATAAATACCTGTATCGTGTGTAAGTCCCCAAACTTTTAACATGTGTATAAGGTCCTCAGTTTCTATTAAAGTCCCCAAACTTTTAACATGTGTATAAGGTCCTCAGTTTCTATTAATACCTGTATCATGTGTAAGTCCCCAAACTTTTAACATGTGTATAAGGTCCTCAGTTTCTATTAATACCTGTATCGTGTGTAAGTCCCCAAACTTTTAACATGTGTATAAGGTCCTCAGTTTCTATTAATACCTGTATCATGTGTAAGTCCCCAAACTTTTAACATGTGTATAAGGTCCTCAGTTTCTATAAATACCTGTATCATGTGTAAGTCCCCAAACTTTTAACATGTGTATAAGGTCCTCAGTTTCAAATACCTGTATCATGTGTAAGTCCCCAAACTTTTAACATGTGTATAAGGTCCTCAGTTTCTATTAATACCTGTATCATGTGTAAGTCCCCAAACTTTTAACATGTGTATAAGGTCCTCAGTTTCTATTAATACCTGTATCATGTGTAAGTCCCCAAACTTTTAACATGTGTATAAGGTCCTCAGTTTCTATAAATACCTGTATCATGTGTAAGTCCCCAAACTTTTAACATGTGTATAAGGTCCCCAGTTTCTATAAATACCTGTATCATGTGTAAGTCCCCAAACTTTTAACATGTTTAAAAGGTCCTCAGTTTCTATAAATGTTCTTATCCTATGCAAGTCCCCAAACATTAGGTATGTGTATAAGGTCTCAGTTTCTATAAATATATGTATAAAGTCTTCAGTTTCTTTTATTAGCCTTATCATGTATAAGTCCCTAAAACTTTTATCGTGTGTATGAGATCCTCAATTTCTTTTTATATCTTGATCTTAAGTAAGTCCCTAATTTCTATATATATATGTATCTTGATCTTGTCCCTAAAGTTTTACCATGTGTGTAAGGTCCTCAGTTTCTTAATTTTCAAACTGTGCAAGTCCAAAAATTATAACCGTATGTACAAGGTCTTCAAAAAACCCTTTTCTTGTTTGTTGGTACATGTTGTTTAATGTCCCTGCAAATTTTGTCCTATATTTGGCACGTACGGACATGGAGAAGTGAGGGATCTTTTCCGTGCAAACACCTGCTGCAACAAGGGAACTCGGTTTATACGGTCTCATCCGAAGGATAGGTATCCACGTCCCACAGTTGTATTCGAACCTGTGACGTAAGGATCAATTAACCCCAATTAATTGCAAATCTAGAGCAGACGCTCTAACCACTGCGCCATGCGGGCGAGACACCTTTGTCTTGTGTAAGTCCTAGCTTAAATTATACCATAATGAATATAATCCTTTTAAATAATGAAAACATAATGTAATGCGATATTAGTTAATAAAAGTGTCCTTTTATAACATGCATACATGTATTTCTTATCAAATAAGTTCAAGAGCTCTTGTATTTTAAAGGCTGATACAGAGCAGTATCGGTTACAGCTACAGTAACTTTATTTCCGACGCTCAATAATAAACAGGCACACTCAATAATAAACAGGCACATATCATAGGGGTGGGGGTTGGGGGGTTGGCCACCCCCTTTTTTTCCAGACATTTTTTTAACTATATAAATTGTTTATTGAAAGCCCCCCTCCACCACACACTTTTGGAATAGGATTATATATTTGGACAATTTTCTGTTCTTCTTTTTTTTTTTTTTTTGATCAAGTTTTTTCGGGTAAGTTGAATTTAAAAAAAAATATTTCCCGGGCTGAATTCCCCTTTAATTTTTTCAACATAGATGCCCCCTTCCCTTTCTGCTTGTCAAGGAATATTTGCTTGGTATTGCCCCCTCCGTGAAAATATTTGTGCAGCCCCCATCCCCCCAAACGAACACACACTAAAATTGCTTCCAACCAGTCAGATTGTGGTTCTCATAATGGCTTAGCAAAGTAAAAAAAAAAAAAGGGAAATTTTAGCTCACCTTTACGATGAGAGCTTGTATATCGTCGGCGTCATACAGGTTAAAGATTAAGGGTCTATAATTTAATATTTTTTTTCATTTTTATATTTATTTAATATAATTATAGCAACGTTAACGATAAATTTTAAAAGCTACATACATGTATTTGTATACAGTTTTACTATTTCAGCACGATACTTTGAGAGAGGACTTGTAATACTTTGTGTATTATTTTAAAAGACATCATCGGGAATAATTGTCCTTTTTGTCCATGTGTCACTAAAATCACAAACACAAAAAAGGTCTGAAATGCTCTAAGTATTTTTTGTTTTTCACTTAAACTCACAATATTTATCGTGAGATTTTGGGCTATAATATTCTAATTTTAAATTTTGCTCCAGATTGCAAAACATAATAAATTGCTTTTCTGTATAATCTATCTAAAATGGATAAGGATACAATGTTTATAAGGATAACAATATAAAGTTTATAAGGATAAGGTTTATAAGGATAAGGATATAAGGTTTATACGGATAAGGTTTATAATTAAAGAGTTATGTTATATTAATAAAATATATATTGTATTATGTAGGTCGTGGCCACAATCGCCAAATCAAAAATAAATGATTTTAAGAAGTTATATTTGTCTTCATCGTCTTTAATAATTAATTACTTTTCTGTATAATCTATCTAAAAATGTGCAAATTTGAGCAGGCGATTTTAATTCAGAATATTATTTGATGGAGGATAGCAGTAGGTTATTGCTTTAATACTAGAACGATCTTGTACCGCCTAGTGTGCATATTACAAAAAAAGAATATTGCTTATATTTTTGATGAAGTGAATAGGTTAATTAATATACGAGAAATAATTATCAAAATCTTTTGGTTATTTTAAAGTTAAATCCATATTCAAAATGAATACGTCATCGAACAGGTTCGATGATTTGGTACATAATGGAAAACATTTTTACATTCTCTTTAATTTTGTTTAAAACGTACGATTTTTAAGTTTCACTGTCGAAATTTCAAAGAATGATCAGAATATTTCTTTTTTTTTTTAATCAAATTTATTTATCAAGCAATCATGAATAGTTTTCAGTGTCAAACACGGATAATTTTAAGTTAAAACTACTTTCATTTTTGGTGCCAAAATAAAGTATAAATACTGATTCTCAAGAGTTTCTCCAGGAACCTCGAGCGATATATCCTAGCTCGCCACTTTTGCTCTCCACTCAAACGCGAATTCCGGTTGGACTGATGTAAAACTATAGTCGAGAAAATAAATATTAATCATTACTACGTGAACAATATGAATAAATCGTCAAAACCCCAAAATAATCGCTCCACCAAAAAAAAAACCCTATATATTATAAGAGAGATGTATACTGGAGTATTTTTATGCGCCCGGATCGATAGATCCCGGGCGTATATTGTTTTTGTCCTGTCTGTTTGTCTGTTTGTCTGTTTATCTGTTTGTCTGTTTGTCTGTTTGTCTGTCTGTCTGTTGTCAACTTTAACCTTGGCCATAACTTTTGAACAATAAAAGATAGAGACTTCATATTTGGTATGCATACTCCACTAATAAAGTCCTTCCTTTCAAACGACATCAAGGTCAATGATCTTGTGACCTTGACTGTAAACTATATGCTAAAAATAGCTTTTTACACTTTTTGCCATAACTTTTGAACCATAGGAGATACCCAGCAGGCACGCAACGTTGTTTCAACGTTGAAAGGAGGTGGAATATAGGTTGCAACGTTGATCAACTATATTTCAACGTTGTTTCAACGTTGAGGTCTCAACGTTGAATCCTCGACCTTTTTTCAACGTTGAAACAACGTTGAAGCTGCAACATATTTTCAACGTTGAATGTTCGTCGATATTTCAACGTTGAAACAACGTTGAGGCTGCAACATATTTTCAACGTTGAATGTTCGTCGATATTTCAACGTTGAAACAACGTTGAGGCTGCAACATGTTTTCAATGTTGAATGTTCGTCGATATTTCAACGTTGAAACAACGTTGAAGCTGCAACATATTCTCAACGTTTGATGTTCGTTGATATTTCAACGTTGAAACAACGTTGAAGCTGTAACATATTTTCAACGTTGAATGCTCGTCGATATTCGACGTTGAAACAACGTTGAAGATTCAACATGTCTTCAACGTTGAGTATTTTCTGATTATATAGAATTAAAACAAGGTTTAAAAATGCAAAGTTGACTGTCTATTGATTTCAACGTTGAAACAACGTGGAAGATGCAACCTATTTTCAACTTTAGGAAAGTTAGGAAAATTTAACGTCGAAACAACGGGTAACGAGTATTGAGCACTTTAGTTTAAGTTCAAAATATAAAGGTGTCTTTAACTTCTAATCCATTCGATTTATTGCAATATACACAGAGTTGTTTGCATTGTTAGAAAATATTATATATATAATAATTTTAGTACTTAATAAATGAAACGCATGCATTATAAATTGATTCACTCAAAAGAGTTATGCCAATTGCTGGTACCATTATAAAAATTATAAATATGAGTTTATATGAAGCATGGCATCTACATTTAACACTTCATTAATATAATTATACACTGTTATATATGTATCAAAAAAGTTGTTTTTTTTTTAAAATAAATTTTGAATGTTTTTTTTTTTGGTGGGGGGGGGGGGGTATTTATAAAATATGTTAATATGAACTTTTGATAAATAATAACATCTTTATCCAACATCTCACTGTAATTCCATGTTACTATAGAATTAATAAGAATAATTATTCCGAATTAATGTTCTTAAAATTAGACTCATATGGATCCGTGCCGTATACTCTTGCGCAGATTATACGTATACGGAGCGAATCTAAGAAGTCTTATTTTATTAGATTGTGCTTTTGTTGTGTGTATTAATTCTATAATCTTTCTTTTCATGAAATATAAAAAAAAATCAAATAAACTCATAAGAATTTTCACACTGACCATTAACCCCGGTCAAGTTGCATTACTTAAGATCCACTCCCCAAAAACCTATCGAGATATCAGATAAGGAGTGCCTCTCACTTAGTTGGTCAGTTTCAGTGTCAGGATAACCTTCTTATGCAATTTTCTTTCTGGGCAGAGTATAGCTGTTTGCAGCTTATCTAGGTCAAAATTTGAATTCAACTGATAGACAAAAAGTGCGCGTCTCCTTGCTGTTCATATTTAATGTGTTTTCAAGCTAGCTAAACACAAAGATTAAGGCTGGAATATCAACTTCTGCTCAGTAAGTATTATTTCCTTTCCATGAATTTAAGAAATTAAGTTTTTTTTAGTATCTGTTCATCATTTAATTCTTATGTTACAAGTATATTTGAAATCTGCGTGAAATGCACATCCTTGCATGGTTCTTGTATTATGTGCTTTGTTGATATTCATTTGGTTATAAAATATAAGATAGTATACTAATATATTATACAATTTAACTAATTGAAGTTCGTCGTAAGGTTAAATCAACCAGTGGTGCAGGGAATTGATTGTATAGTCAGCGTTGATTGCATCAGATTCTTCGCCCGTGAAATTTATACAAAGGAATGCAACATTTTGTAAGTACACTAGTATGTATATGTATGTCTATAACATTTTTCTTTAGTAATAATTATTTATAAGCATACTCATACGAATTTTAACATGAAGTCAAGTATAATTCTTTTAATTATGTTAATTAAATCCAAGTACCGGAATATATTCCTTTGTCTGATTTTTTAACTCATTCATGTATATTTATTTTTATCGTTTGAAATAACGTGTTACGTACATTTTATCGAACAAATGACTTTAACATCTTTATTTCTTTTATCAATAGGCTTTTGCTTTAGAGGATGGATTCTCCTGTTTATTTCTTTCATTCGTGGGACTTAACTATATGTGTGATTAAAATCAATGGATCCGCCACTTTGTGGAACTTAGTAGTGTAAGGCAGACGCGTACTTTGAAGGACCTGGATGTGATTACTGTGACCCACTTTTCACTTGGAATATAAATTTTGTAAAGCAGTGATTTTTGAGATTCAGTGATTGAATCCGAATTTGTGTTTGTCTTTAAAAAAAATAAATTCTCTTACAATCATAATACTGGATTACAACTTATCTAAATGTTACGCAACTTGAATTAAAATTTTTATTAGAATTTGAAATGTATTTGTTTATGAAGCAAAATGTAAAATGAATTCAACGTGATTTCAACCAAATATCAACGTTTGTACAACCGAAAAATTTCAACCAAATCTCAACCTAATTTCAACCAATGTTCACTTTTGTTCAATGTTGATATTTGACGTTGAAACAACGTTGAAGCTTCAACGTTGCCTCAACTTTCATTTGCAACCAAAAATCAACCATAAATCAACCAAAAACTCAACCCATTTTCAACGTTTATTCAACGTTGAAAATTGACGTTGAAACAACGTTGTGTCTCAACGTTGACTCAACTTTCATATGCAACCAAAATTCAACGTTGATTCAACGTTGAAGTGCAACGTTGATTCAACGTTGAATCAACGTTGAAATGCCTGCTGGGTAGGGACTTCATATTTGGTATGCATACTCCACCGATTAAGTTCTTTCAAATGACACCATGGTCAATGACCTTGTGACCTTGACTGTGACCTATATGCTAAAAATAGCTTTTTCCACTGTTTGTCATAACTTTTGAACCATAGGAGGTAGGGACTTCATATTTGGTATGCATACTCCACCGATAAAGTCCTTTCAAACGACGGCAAGGTCAATGATCTTGTGACCTTGACTGTGACCTATATGCTAAAAATAGCTCTTTACACTTTTTGCCATAACTTTTGAACCATAGGAGATAGGGACTTCATATTTAGTATGCATACTCCACTGATTATGTTCTTTCGAATGACACCATGATCAATGACCTTGTTACCTTGACTGTGATCAATATGCTAAAAATAGATTTTTTGAACTTTGTTGCCGCCGGGCGCATAGTGTTTCACAAACACATCTTGTTTTTTTTGTGTAGCGTTATTTTGGGGTTTTGGAAATTTATTCATATTATACACGTCCATGTACATCAGGCTTGGGGTCAATTACTTTGAAA